AGCCTGATGCAGGGCTCAATCCCAGGACTCTGAGATCATGACCTGAGCTCAAATCAAGAGTCAGATGCTTAACCCACTGCACCACCCAGGTATCTCATGAATGAAATTCTGGCACATGGTATGACATGGATGAACCTTGAAAACACTATGGTAAGTGAAAGAAGCCAGTCATAAAGACTGAATATTATAGGAGTCTATTTACATGAAATGTCCAGAATAGGCAAATCCTTGGAGATAAGACAGTAGAATAGTGGTTGACAGGGGCTGGGAGAGGGAGGAAATGGGGAGTTGGTGCTAATGGGTAGGGGGGCTATGAAAACATTCTAGAGTTAGATGGTAGTGATGGCTGAACAACTCTGAATATACTAAAAGCCACTAAATTTTACACTTTAAAAAGATTGATTTTATATGTTATGTTTTATGTTTGTTCCATAAAACTGTTATTTAAAAAGAGAAAGAGAAAAAAAGAATGAAGTGAGCCTGTTGCCTGAAGGATAACAACTGGCATTACTTGTTGCTAATGAAAAAAAAAACTCAAGCTTTCAATTAAAAATTAGTATTTTGGAAAACTTGTATCCACCACCGGTAGCTTGACAGCTCCTCAAATCTTGAAAGACTTTTCCTATGATATTGGTGGTGATATTAATGACTGTGGATTTTTTTCAATTATCACTTGGATCTGTTATTTGACAAAATCTCTTCTTTCCAGAAGATGTGGGTTCACTCTTCCTTTTCATGGGTTTCAGTAAGCAAAATATCAAGAGGAAATGTCTTGCTTTTACTGAAAGGACTCTTACTGCGAGTGGTGTAATCAAGCAGAGAGGCACCCCAGCTCCTGCAGGGACCACATATGAATGTGGAATATAAGAAACAGTGCAGAGGATCATAGGGGAAGGGAGGGAAAACTGAATGGGAAGAAATCAGAGAGGTAGACAAACCAAGAGAGACTCTTAACTATAGGAAACAAACTGAGGGTTGCTGGAGGGGAGGTGGGTGGGGGGATGGGGTAATTGGGTGATGGGCATTAAGGAAGGCACATGATGTGATGAGCACTGGATGTTATATGCAACTGATGAATTACTGAACACTACATCTGAAACTAATGATGTACTATGTGTTGGCTAATTGAATTTAAATTTAAAAATAATTACTGGATTTTTTTCTATTGGATAATGAAATATGTCAATATTTTGAAGATTGGAATAACTCTGTGAACCAATGCATGACATTACCAGATCATGCTTGAGTGAAAGATCCATGCCAAGTCAGACCAATGGATTTTAAAGTAACTGAGTTCAAAAAGTTTATCTATATGATTTTAGATTCCACATTTCTACTAATCTTTAAGAAACTTCTTGTAAAATTTTGGTGTAATACCAAAGAAGAATATCCAAAATAATCTCCTGTGAAGACTATTAAAATACTTCTCTTTTTCCAGTTACAGATCTGTGTTAAGCTGTATTTTCTTCATATGCTTCAACCAAAACAACATAACACAATGGATTGAATCTAGAAGCAGATATGAGAATCCAGATATCATCTATTTAGCCTAAAGACATTTGCTAAAATGTAAAACAATGATGTATTTCTCACTGAATTTTTAAAGTATACTTTAAAAAAATTTTTAATAAAAAATGAGTTTATTGAATTTATTTTTAGTGAATTAATAATTAAATATTTTTTTAAAAACTCAGTATCTACACTATACTCCATACCTATCAAATCAAATTCTTTGGAGGTGGGACCTAAATATTATTTTTATAAACTTTCCCAGATGATTTCAATGTGTAGCCAAGTTTAGAACTAGTGCCCTAGTGCCTTAGAGCAATGTTCTCAAGTTTTGGTGTTTATCAGCATCACCTGGGGAACTTGGTAAGAATATGAGGTGTAGGCTTCATGCTACTTCAGTAAGCCTGGACCGCTATATTTTTTATTAGTTCTCCAGATGAGCTGAGACACACCAAGAGTGAAGAACCACTATCTTATCCAGGTCAAGAGTATTAGGCCCCTTTCTTAACTCTATTTGGATCCTGGATCTGTTATTTGACAAAATCTCTTCTTTCCAGAAGATGTGCGTTCACTCTTCCCTTTCATGGGTTTCAGTAAACAAAATATCAAGAGGAAATGTCTTGTTTTTACTGAAAGGACTCTTACTGCAAGTGGTGTAATCAAGCAGAGAGGCACCCCAGCTCCTGCAGGGACCACTGCCTGTCCTGTCTCCCTGAGGAGCCTCCCTTCTGGTCTGTGCTGCACAGTCATGGAGGGTCTGTCACCTAGTCTAGGGGCAACAGCTACTAAAGTGACCTCAGAGGATGGTTCTCTGATGGTTAGGTGACAAATGGATCTACCACTCCTGTCTCCAGAATACAAGTTTCTCTATTGGGTTGGTTTTATAGTATCTTCAGAATTTGGAGGCTGCCACTCAGGATTTCTCCTGGTCAGTCAAAACTAGTGAGACCTTTGCTCATCCAAATGTTAGTAAGTCGGGGATGGGAAGTCAGTTATCAGCTGGACTTCAGGTGGCAGGGAGGGGCTGGACCTGGATGCAGATGTCTGTGCCCTCGGTGGTGTTACACTGGCACAGTAATGGAGAGCAAGTTATCACCTGAGAGACAGCAAGTTTACAGAGGGTAACAAACATGACCTCCCAGGCCCCCATGTTGATTAACTTCCTCTCCTTCCGTGGATTTGTCAAAAACTGAGCAGAACTTGTATTTTCTGTATAAATTTAGGTTGCTTAGGGTGTGAGGGAGAAAGGACTTCTAGAAACCAGCCAAGTGTTTAGCAGATTACAGAACAGTTTCAGGTTCTCCACTCCCTTCCCAGATAGATTTGTGTTCCTAAGGTTAGAAGTGTAGGAAGCTTATGGACTGAAATATTGCCTACTATACAAAGACATCTGTATAATACAGGAGAGGACAGACTTCTCTGTCAGTCCTCAACCTCTTCAACCTGCCCCTGGAAGAACAGAACAGGCATGTAGTCCTCCTGTTTGAGCTTTTTTGGCAGAATCTACGTGAAAATATTCAGTGTCACTGAATTTTGCTTGAGTATCTCTTTGCCTAACACTGCTTGACCCTAAAGACACAACAATTAAAGAAGGACAAATATTCACACTGCAACTCATTTGGACAGAGAAATTGCATTTAGGCTATTAATTAACCTGGTATTTCACCCAAGGAACTAACGTCTGGTTATCTGGGGAAAAAATAACATTAAATCGCCTTTAAAGCTTCTTCCAGTAGGATAAGATGGATTAGGTAAGAATATTTGACTGGCCTGAGTGTTGTCTACATTACCCGGGATCCTAAGGAATCATGAAGACCAGACACCAGTAATGAGCTGTACCTTTTATAACATCACACCATATTGTGCTTGTTTGTTTATAGATGTAAAGGGAGTAATATTTGTAAAAATGTAATGTGATTTTTCTTTTCAGTCTACCCCATATAGGACTTTAACCCCAGTTTACCCTAGGAATCCATTTATCTGTGAGGATATTAGAATTCCTTTCAAGAGTAGTACAAAAAAGAAAGAATAAGCTGTTTCTGTTATTCAGAAGGAGGATCATGCAGAAGAAAAAGAGTCATAGACTGTTGTCTTGAAAGAAGATTTCCCAAATTCTGTCATCTTTGCCTTTTATTTATAAAAGATTGATCCCCAAGGCTCCCAACTCCTAGTGCTTTGCTGTAAGGCAGGGAAAGCATCACTTCTGACTAGGAGAACCTGGTATGCTCTGTGGTGGTGTTTCTCACCTGGAGGGGTTTTGCCCCCAGAGGAGATTGGGTAGTATCTGCACACATTTTGGTTGTCATAACTAAGGGGGTTGTGCTACCAGCATCTAGTGCATAGAGACCAGGGATGCTGTTCAACATCCTACAATACTCAGGCAGCCCCTGCCACACAGACTTTTCTGGCTCAAAAGAGTAATAGTGTTGAGACAGGTTGAGATCCTGCTCTAGGATAAAGGTGCTCAAAGTATGGTCCTCAGACCAGCAATATTAGCATCACCTGGGAACTTGGTAGAAATGCAAATCCTTGGGCCCCACCCCAGATCTACTGAACTAGAAATTCTGGGAATGGAGCCCAGCAATCAGTGTTTTAACAAGCCCTCCAGGTGATGCCCACACTAAGGCTTATGCTCTATGGAAGTCAGAGGCTATGACACAGGACCACTGATCCTTTCCAGCTCTGGGTAATGGTGGGTGGGGAAACAAGAGATAGAGAAAGAAACCCTGCTGCCAGCTTGCTCTTTCCTCCTTGGCAGGTTTGGACTGAGAGACATGGCGGTGGAGTGGAAAGTGACGGAAGCACCAAGAAGGGAGATCATGCTCTCTGACCTCCTTGGGCTGTGGAAGTCCTGGTCCACATGGGTGCTGCTGGTCCCCCGGCATTTGCAGATGCAAAGAGTGGACTCAGGATCTTGATTCCGGGGGGAATGCAGCCTCTTGTACAACTGGCCTGAAGTCTGGCTGTGATTCCTTCTGGTCTTGGCTTACAAGTCTCAACAGCTCCTGATGCAGTGTCAACTCACCTTCATGGTGACCCACTCTCCCAAGTTTCCAAGAAGCCTGTCAGCTAACCCCAGGGCCAGTTTATACCATGCTGAAATTTGCAGCAGCTTTAGAAAGTGAAATTCCACAGATCTCCCCTCTGCCTGTCCAGGCAGTTGATGCATCTCTGACATTTAAATGGCTCCCTGTGTTTTCATTATGGCTCAGAAGGTTTGCAGTGCCCAGAGGACAGGGAGTACAACATGGACTCAAGAAGAGCTGCATATCAGGTACCAAAGGTGGTAGCCAGAATGTGGATAAAGCATAATAAGGTGATAAGGAGGCACCAGACCAGGCACTTGGTGTCATGAGTTTCAAAGAAGCAGGGCTTTCCCCTGACTATGGAAAAGCTAGTGGTATAGTATGGAACAAGCACTAAAGGGTAAAAGGAAAATACATTTTTTTTTAATACATTGAAAACACAAAGTGTATATGAACTGCATTAATGTTTACATTTTATTTGATTTCTTCGAAAGATCACTTTTGCTTCAAATTTACATTTGTGGGGTCAAGTATTCTGAGCATCTCATTTTTTCAGCATTTTATTTGGTGGTCAAACAGCCTTTATTGTAGCAATATGACAAGGGGTATGCACTAAGTAGGTCTATTTTGTTATGAGCATCAGAAAAAGGTTAGCTAACCTATGCCAAAAGAGGAATGTACTAGCAAATTAGGAAGAGGATGGTAGACTCAAAGCAGGGATTGGGTAAGTGGAGAAGCCAGGGTAGTTCCAGCAACATGTCAGGATGAGTAGGTTACTCACAGCCCCACTGTTGAAGTGACTCATCTCAATCAATTTCCTCTGTTATGTCATAATACTCAAGATTCAATATCCTGGAAAAGAAAGTCTGATTGGTCTACTGTACACCATATGCCCACCCCTGGCAGAGAAGGACAGTTGCAGGTGGGAAGAAAGGGCAGCGTGATTATCAGTCCCACAAAGACTCTAATGAAGGGGACAAGGGTGATTCTCCAAAAGAACATCTGGATCCTGCTACCAACATAAGGATCAGGGAGGCTGGGCACACAGACACCAGTCATCCACTATGGGCAGGCACAGACTCTGCAACCTTCTCACCTGTGGTAACTGGGCCATGCAGTCCCTCCCTTTGGCAACCTGAGAAACGGTACTAGGAAAAGTGCCTTGGAATGATGAAACATGGCAGCACAAGAGAGAGCAGTACAAAGCATATTTCAGAAAAGGCAAGAGGTGCAAAATGTTGGGACCTTGGTTTACAACACAGGAGGGATCCAGAGAGCACAGTGGAAACATCTGGAAGGAAGGGAGGCCCAGGGAGTTGGGTTAAGGCTGTTAGAGGAGTGAGCTAGTCAGCTTGCACTTGGAAATGGGAGGTGATGAGTAGAGCTGTGCCAGGTATAAGAGAAAACCTGGCTGTCGTGTAAAGGCAGTGAGGAAGTGCTCAGGTTCCTGGGAGATAGTAGCTCAGCTAGAAAGACTGAGAGGCTGCAAATTTACCCTCCAGAATACCATACCTAGATGAGATATGTTTGTGAAGTGGATCTCCAGGCCAGGTTTAAATTCCTCAAACACAATGATCTGTAAAGAAGGAGGTTGGGTGGCCATGAGATTCAAGTTCTGACTCTTTGCAAGGCAAAGGCCAAAGGAAGTGGACTGGGATGAGGGAGGTGTAGAGGGGAGCTTACCTCATTTGATCCAGAATGAAGCCAGGGTCCTGGAAGGTAGAGGGTCTCCTGGGGACCTATATTCCAGTAGCGTCCCAGATTTCGTCCATTGATGAATATTACACCTTTTGTCCAGCCCTGAAAAAGATTGGAATGAAGGATTCAAGACCTGAGTTCTAGATGTAATGACACTAGGGTGAAGACACACACCCCATAAACGCACCTGATCATAGTCATAGTCACACCTAGATGGAATGGATTACCACACATGGCCTTAAATGGAAGGTTACCTGGACAGGTCTATGTTATTGCCCCTGGCCCAGGGTTGATTCAACACCCAGGCCTCAAGAAGGAAGGTACTGATTTCTAACTCATCTGTGCCAAGTCAGGGAAGGGTCTTTCCATTGACCATCAGGCATTCACCAAAACACGCTGGGCCCAAAGCATAGTTTGAGTTGTAGAATTTTGGGATGGCCGTACATGTACATTAAAATCTCAACATCCCCACTACAGACTGGATGTGTGTCTTAAAGGGGTTGAGGGTCTCAATGTCTTGGATTACGTCTGGGGACAAGTGGATCACACTCACTAAATTCTTCATGCACTAGATTCTACATCTGTCCCCACTAGGACATACTACTTATGTCTTTGTTGCATTTGTTAAGCTTCCACCCCTCACCCTTGTTAACACCAGGGAAGGGACAGCCTCCAGATAGCTGTGGAGTGGCTGATGTCCCAGGGAGCTTACACTTCCTTTCACAGGACAGGGCCCATGTACCAAGGAGATTTTTCCTAAATATCCTTTTGGGATGGGGGCTGGCAGGATAAGCAGGGGAGAAATATCACTAACCTCCATTTTTATGAAGGTATCTCTGGGGTAATTACCCATTCTCAGGATACCAAGGAAGAAGGCAGGGCCCCGATGTTTGAATGAGGCTGGTTTCCAGATGTTAGGAAGGTCCCTAAGAGGGAATCAAACACCAATGGAAAGGTCATGCCCTTCTTTGTGTGTCAGTTGTGAATTTTGAGGTAGGTCTCCTTTTTGCCCAAGCCTGACATTCGTCTTATAGCACAAGCACATGCCTCTAAGGGGCATAATGCAGAAAAAAACAAACAAAAAATCAGCAGACCAGGAGTTGGGTGAATGAGGTGAGGGTCACCACTCTGCCCCAGACACCTATGAAACTTGGGGTCATTTCCTCCAATACTGTGGATCTCACCTCTCATCTGAAAACTAAGGAGGTTAGTCTGGATGGTCTCTGAGCTTCTTTCCATCTCTAAATCAGAACCATCTTTGATCAGTCACCTTGAGTCAATGGTCTGGCACCCACCTTTGTAGAAACTGAGTTTTCATATCCAGGCTATAGATTTTAAATTTTCTTAAAGGAAAATTGTTCAGATAGATATCCCCAATTAGACCTGTAAAAGAGGGAATAAAAGGAACATGAAGAAGGCAAGCAGGGATGTGAACACAGAGATGTAAACAGGCTGTGGCCAGGACTCCCCCTAAAGGAGGATGTTTTCCTGTCCATATCAGATGGAAGGTTTCTGCAAAATCTTACAAAAATTCTTCCTTCTGTTATACATGTACACTTCTTAGACTGTGCCTGTATGTCCCACATTAACAGTGGAAAAGTCACAGCACATCCTGCCAGGTCTGGCCAGAATAGCAGTTCAGGCTACCTTTAACTCTCAAGGTAGGTCAAAGCACTTGGAGCAGGGGAAGGAAGGTGTGTGTGACTCTGTGCCCAGGAGCCCAGGGGGAGGTGAGGACACAGGCACTAAGCTCCAGAGAAGGGAAAATAAAAGTTCCCAGGGAGGGATACTAACCATCTTTTTCTATAGCTTTCTTCAAAAACATCCTGGAAGAGGAAAGGCAGTGCTCTGGCTTGGTCATTAGAGAATACACTTGAGGGAAGGCACCATCATCCTTTCCCATCAAAGCAAGACTTCCTCATAGTTTCTACACATGGCTATTTCGTTGGCCAAAAGATCCTGCTGTCCACCAAACCATACACCTGGCCATGACTGTCCTCAGCCTAGGATAAGAGCGACAGGAATTTGGTGCCTCAAGGTCTCAAACTTCTTCACCCTTGGAAGGAAGGAGGCCTACCTTTTCTCTCCTTATTGATATCCTGCCCATAGGCAAGGCGGCCTTGATTCTCCACCAGGATCCTCAGTGTTGGGTTATCCTTGTAGACCTGTCCAAGACAGATGAGCCAGAGTCAATACCACTCAGGGAACTTTTCTGTATACCTCTTAAGTCTCCTCTGAAACTCAGATAATGTTGTAAGCAGGGTGACTGACATACAGCAGGCTTCAGAAGCCTGCAGATGTCCAGCTATGGGCCAAGTAAACCCTTGGGCTCCTGCTCTTCCTACTCACCCACCCTCACCCCCACCCCCATACTGGGCCTTTCAGAAAACAGTCACTCAAACATTTCACAAGAGATTATTGAGGCAGGTGACAAACCTAGAGTTTTTTGAGCAGCAAATATCCAACATGTTGAAGTTCTGCTCACCCAAAGCATATACACCTATACTTTAGAAATACATACAGCTCTCCTGCATCCATGCTGGGCTCTTATGCAAGGAACATTCCAAAGGACAGTGGAGGAGAAAATAAGCTATCACAGGGCAAGGCCACGCTTACAATTAAGCCTGGGCGCTTAAGTATTAGTCCATCAACACTAGATTACATACCATTTTCCTGGGAATAGTCAGCTGATGAGTGGAATGGTCCAGGACCCCTAAAAACTCCTCATCCAAAAACACCTGCCAAAGAAAGAGGAGAGCACCATTAGATCATCATAAGGAAAGGGATAAAACGGTCCTTGGGAAAGCAAAGAAAAGGCAAGTTCTAGGGGAATGATTAACTCTGTCTCCTAGAATATTACAAGCCGACTATGAATCCACAAAAATACAACATATTCAAAGCAGTACAGTCATGAAATGTATGAGGCAAAGTCCAGAGAAGGATGTCCTGATACCAAATCTGGGCCTGGCTGTACTATAGGGCAAGGAGGGAAAGAATAAAATTTAAAGGACCTGCAGGGAATGAGGGAAAAAGGAAGGTAGAGAATGAATAGATATTGTGAAAGAAGTAATGGCCACAGGGAAGATGGGACTCCAGGTGCAGGAGACATCTCCCTGCCTGGCTGGCATGGCTTCACTCCCATAATGGATCCAGTCTCCCAGGTTTCCCCTGACCCTTATCAGAGGCTGCTGCCACCATTATTTCTCATTTTAAGAATGACCTGGACATAAATCCTTTCCTTTTCTGTTACCTATTCTATTGCTTTAGGCTCAGATGAAGTCACCCAGAAGAACCTGCTCTAACCACGCAGGACCACAGAAGGATACATAATTTGTGCCTTAGATTATTTGAGTCGGGTCATAATTTTCAAATGAAATTTGACCAGGAAACTATAAAAATTAAAATCCACAAATACTAAAAACACAAATATTAATACCATACAAAACACAGAATTCATATTTTAAGCTATTTAGAGTCTAATCACAAGGCTTATATACTCTATAACCATTTGTTGAACACCTACTGAATGGCTTGGGCAAGGGGTCACCAAGCTTAAAACACAACCCCAGCCACTGAGGAACTCAGACAGTGGCACAAAGAAATTATTAGGATACTCCACAATAGCTAATATGGAACTGTGACCAGAATGCCATGGAAGCACAGCGAAGGGAGTGACAAGTCCTGATCCACAGTCAAGTCCAGGTTATTTGGTGAACATGACGACAGGTGACTGGGAAAATCAATGGAAGACTGTAGACAGGGGAAATGGCACTCTGAGAATTTTACTTTGGGAAGGAAACTGGTGGCACTGTGAGGAAGGGATTTGGCAAGTAGGAGAGGAAAGGTGAGCTATCTGAAAAAGGAAGATCGGTTAAGAGGCTCTAACAGTAATAGAGGGAAGATACAAAGGCACTTCTAAGGCCAGAGGCATGGATTTTGAGAGAAGACCCACTGAGTAATACTGTAGCCAGCATGTGCCCACTGAGAATAAGGTGTGAAGAGAAAATGAGGGGAGCAGCATTTTCAGGTGGGAAGGCTGCAAGTCCATGAATGGATGTGAGGAGTACAGGATGAGGTTTATTTTGGAAGGTAATGAATTTGGTTTTGGACATGATGAGTGTAAGAAGCCAGTGGAACATATGTCTAAGTGAAGAAAAATGTTCAGCAAACAAGGAATCTGGGTCTGCAGCTCAGGAAAAGAAGGGGAGGGTTGGAGTCACCATCAGGAGTGCCTGAAACTTGGGGAGAAGATGACACAGACAGCACAGAGAGGGCTCTTAGCAAGAGAATGTCACCAAGACCTAAGGAAACTCTGCCAGCTCTTAACTTGGAGTGAGATGATGAAGCCTTTACCCTCAGCTCTGCTGCTTTCAAGTCAAATGTCCTCTGAAAGTCATTTAACTTCTCTGAGGTTTTCTCATTTGTAATAAATATCTTAGATGAATGTTCTGAGAATTGAATGAGAGCAGTGCATTGTAATGTAGGAATTGCTGTGCAGTAAGTAGAGGGACTTCTGAAGCTCCTCCCAAGTCTCCTTTAAACTCCATCAACTCCCATGAGGGTTCAATGAATACCACCCTCCCTGGGAACTACTATAAACCTTGGACCTATGACAACAGTGGCTTACATATCAAATATTTCCCTGAAGGGACAAAGGTTAAGAAACAGCAATGATTTTTTGAAGGTGAAAAAGATTTGAGCATCATTTAGATATTCACCTCAGCACCACCACTGGGTTTTACTAGGAGAGAAGTGTCACTGGGACCCATCCACTGTCCCTTACCTGACCTCGATCTTGAACATGACCCTTCGTGGTGAGGAGGCCACTGGTGGTGACCACAGTCTCATAAAGTATGTATCCAGAGGACTGACCATTCCCCTGGTTCACGGACAGCTTCTCCATGCAGATTGGCTTGACAGACCTGATGGGCTGTGGCAGAAAGAGGAATAAACCAGGCTGAATGTTCATGCTGGAGAGACAAATTTCAGAAACCCACAACCAAAGCCCACTTCTCCAAAGGAATTGCCCCAAGAGTCCTTTTTAGTTTTCCAAACCAACTTCATATTTCTCTGCATGTGCTAGACAGTAATGTATTCTTATTTTTCAGATGGAAAAGCTGAAATCAAGGAAAGGGAATGATCTGTTAACTTGCTCATCAATTCATGATAGAGCCTGGACTAGACTCCTGATTTTAGGAACTCCATGCCAGGTGTGCCAGATTCTGTCTATCCTTGGTCTTTTCTTCTTGTTCCTTCATACAGTAAGAGAAATCATCCTACCCCATGGTCTGACCATGGCTATTCATGAATCTGCCTATCTAACACTGAGCTAAAGCACTCGATGTCTGTTAACTCCCATGTCTGTTAGACTTCTCCTTCTGAAGATCCCTAAATGATTCCAATGTAGTATCTTCCAAACTATATTTACCACACTTCCCCATCCTACTCTTTTTCCTTTCCAAAGAGCAACACCAACCATCCAGTCAAAAAGGTAAAAAGCATGGACAATGTCTCTTTCTCAATATCCCCAATAAACCAGTCATCACCTCCTTTAGAGTCTGACTCTGAATATCTGTTTCACTAATCCTTCTTCACCCCCATTATCTAAGCTCAACTTCAGTAGATTTTTATTCATTTTCAGTGTTCTAGCATGGTCCCACTCTACTCCATCCCCCATACAGCTACCAAAGAAATCCTTCTGAAATGCAAAGCTGGTCATCTGATTCCCAAGCCATGCTTTAAAATAGCTTCCCACAACTTTCAGGGAAATGTTCAAATCTCTTAGCATAAAAACATGGCCTGAGGCACTGGATGGTTCAGTCGGTTAAGCATCTGCCTTTGGTTCAGGTCATGGTCCCAAGGTCCTGGGATCAAGCCCTGCAGCAGGCTCCCTGCTCAGTAGGAAGCCTGCTTCTCCCTGTACCCCTCCCCCCACTCATGCTTGCTCTCTCTCTCTCTCTCTCAAATAAATAAGTAAAATTTTTAAAACACACACACACACACACACACACGGCCTTTCAGACTGCCTGTGTGGAGCCACACAGCCTGAAGCATTCTGGAGGACAAAGAAGATATCAAAAGCTACTGAACTCATGTCAAGAGAACGAGAGGACAGAGGGGCCAACTTAAAGGAGACAGGACAATTTGAATATCAAAAGGAATGACTGCAACGGGGTTGAAACATGTTACATGTGTTTAAAAAAAAGTGTGAGTTTTCAGGAGGATCTTGGGAAGACAGTGTCAGAAAAGGATTCTGACCTCACCTCCTCCCACAGACCCTTCAAGGCTACAACTGCACACTGTGCACCTCACTCGGAAAATGACATGAAGACTGCCCAAACTGACGTTCCACAGCTAGAAACATAAAAAGAAGGCCACATTGATAGGGGTGGGGGTGGCGGCAAGAAGCAATGAATTCAAACCCCCAGCACAGCAACTCACAAGCAGGAAGAAGATTCCAGGCCTGGAGGTCATCCCAGACGAGGGAGGGGATCAAGCCCTATATCAGACACCCCTGGTCCTAGAGACTTGTACCAGGAAGAAGTGTGGCTTTGAAAATCAGCAGGGCCTAATTGCAGAAGAATCAAAGATCTATAGGAAACCAAGTGTCTACCCTTATAGAGCCAGAATGCTGTATCACTTGGTCCAAGACCCAGGACAGAGGCAGCAGTTTGAAAAGCATGTAGGTTATACATAAAGGAGATTTACTGTCTGGTTTTAGGACATGTGCCTGAGAAGCAGGGATCTGGAGGAGCTTTCCCCTGGAATGGAAGTGCTGGTAGGAGCCATTTTTCTTACCCTGCTATAGCCTAACTAGCCCAACTCTTGTGGAGCCATTTCTAACATTATCCATCTACCTTGCTAGCACGGCTTGATCCACGCTGGCATTCTCCTATGGACCAGCTCTGGCAGGCACCCACAGCTAGAGTCTAGAGACCAGAGTCCCCCCCCAGAGTAACAACTGCCCCCCCCAACACCTGCTGGGCAGCCCTGGCCTACACCAGTGCCCCTCCAAAGCAACTCCTGCACTGGGGAGGAGAGAGCCAGCCTTGCAATTAATCTATGACAAAAGAGGCAAGAATATACAATGGGGAAGAGTCTCTTCAATAAATAGTGTTGAGGAAACTGGACAGCTACATGGAAAAGAATGAAACTGGACCACTTTCTTATACCATACACAAAAATAAACTCAAACTATATTGGTTCAGTACCTAAATGTTGGACCCGAAATTATAACACTCCTAAAAGAAAACAGGCTGTAAATTCTTGGACATCAGCCTTAGCAATATTTCTCTGGATCTGTCTCCCCAGGCAAGGGAAGCAAAAGGAAAAATAAACGATTGGGACTATATCAAACTAAAATATAGAAAAGGAAACCCTCAAAAAAAATGAGAAGACAACCTACTGATTGGGAGAAGATACTTGCAAATGATATATCTGATAAGGGGTTAATACCCCAAATATATAAAGAACCTGCACAATCATCATCAAAACAAAACAATTCAATTGAAAAATAGGCAGAGGATCTAAATAGACATTTTTCTGAAGAAATACAGATGGCCAATAGACAAATGAAAAGATGCTAAACTTCATTAATCACCAGGGAATTGCAAATGAAAACCACAATGAGATGTCACCTCACAGCAGTCAGAATGGCTAGTATCCAAAAGATAAGAAATAGCAAGTGTTGGTGAGGATGTGGTGAAAAAGGATCCCTCATGCACTGTTGGTGGGAATGTAATTTGGTGTAGCCAGTGTGGAAAACAGTATGGAGGTTCCTCAAAAAATAAAAAATAGAAATACCATATGACCCAATAATTCCACCACTGGGTATTTACCTGCAGGAAATAAAAACACTACTTTGGAAAGATATATGTGCCCCTAAGGTACTGTAACATTATAATAGTTAAGATATGGAAGCAACATAAGTGTTCACTGATAGATGAATGACTAAAGAAGATATGGTGTGTATATATATATATATATATATATATATATATATATATATAATGGACTATTACTCAGCCATAAAAAGAATAAAATCTTGTCATTCACAACAACATGGATGGACCTAGAGAGTATTATGCTAAGTGAAATAAGTCAGACAGAGAAAGACAAATACCATGTTATTTCACTTATATATGAAATCTGAAAAACAAAGCAAACAAACAGAAACAGACTCATAAATACAAAGAACAAATTGGTGGTTACCAGATGGCAGGGGGTGGAGGGGCTGAGGAAAATAGATGAAGGGCATTAAGAGGTACAAAATTTCAAGTATAAAATAAATAAGTCACAGGGATGAAAAGTACAACATAGGGAATGTAGTCAGCAATACTATAATAACTTTGTATGGTGACAGTAACTATGCTTAGTGTGCCAAGCATTTTGTAATGTATATAATTTTCAAATCAGTATCTTGTACACCTGAAACTTATATAATATTATATGTCAACTATACTTCAACTGAAAATAAAAATTTTAAAAATCATGAGTTTATAATCAAATAAAGACAACAACAACAAAACAACTCATTGGCCACCTTTGCAAGATATCCAGGAATAAATTCATTATCTGATAAAAGAAAATACTTGAAATTTTGTCCTAACTTTTCTTTACAAACTGTACATTAAGGTGACAAGACAACAGAAAAGGAAAGTTCTGCATAGAAGAACTTCAAGTGTATAAATGAAGAAGGAATGACTGAATAAGAATGATACTATTTTAACAGCCTTAATGAAATACTGGATATAGGTAATAATTGTCAATGACTGCTAAAACCATTAGGTAAAAGATTGATGGGAAAATTGATAATGGATAGACTGGGCTAACTACTCCTGAACCCACTGATAAATTATGAAAACAGAAATGACCAGCCATTATGTGCCTGAGATATAATGCATAAAAAAATGTAACAGCACCACCTATGAAATATACTTGCAAACAATTTTTTTAAAAAGCACCCAACTTAAAGCTCATCAAGCATCTAGATCAGTTTACTGAAAATGTGGGGAGTATAAAGACATATTCCCAGATACATGGGGATCTAATTAGCAAAGCCCAGAATGTAGGGGATTCTATAGTACAGATAATCCTGCTTCTTCGACAAATAAATGTAATAAAAAGGAAAGAAATCTTTAGATTAAAAGAGATTTAAGAGGCATATCAACTAAATGCAATGTGTGACTAACCTGATTTGGATCTTGGTATTAACAAATCAGTGCTAAAAATGTTATGAGACAGGTGAGAAAATCTGAACACTGGATATTTTATGATTTTCAGCAGTGGGGTGCTACAGCCAGTCTGTACTAGCTCATGAGTGCCAACTGTGCACATCTCTACCCAACCCTGTATTTTGTCTCTGTACTCGGTGTTGTCATGCCAGAGCCTTGGAATTAGCCATAGTGGGAGTACTTATACCGCAGGAATTGGCAAACACTACTAATCAGAGTTTTTTCTTCTAGAGAGTCTGTTACTAAATATTTCCCAGGAAATCACTGACTTTAAAGGATTATTATTAGTAGTACTATCATCATCATCATCAAGGTAGATAATGATTTTGTAGTTGCATTTTTAAAAGAGTTCTTATCATTTCAGATACATATTAAACTATTTATAGCTAAAATTGTATGATGTCTGGGATCTGCTTTAAAATAATCTTAAAAAGAGTAGAGGAAGAGAAGGTAGGGGTATAAATGAAACAGTATTAGTCATATATTAATAAAGTTGAGGCTGCATGTTGAACACACAGGGGTTCACTACTTTTCTCTGTGCCATTTGTTCATGTCTTCAAAATTCCGTAAGAAAACATTTAAAACAAAACCACAAAGGCCCTCTGACATGTGGTATCTGGGGCCTTACTTGGCACTCCCTCACAAACACTTTTCATTGCAGTCTTATTTGCAGTTCCCTAAACATGCATTTCCTTCCTTGTTTTTACAAATGGTTTTCACTATGCCTCAAATTCCTTTCCCTCCCCCATCCAACTCCACTGTTCATCTCATTAAGCTCTATTCATCCACTGGATCTCAAAATCACCTCAACTGGGATATAATATTGGATCCTGTGACTGTCCAGCATGCTGACCATATCTCTAAATAATAACACAGTAGCTAGCACTTACATGTGTCAGTTTCAAATATTAGGGGCTTAATCCACACCACAATCCTATGAGGTAAGTGCAATTATTAGCTTCATTTTCCAGATAAGGAAACTTACAATGAAGTTAAATGACTGCCCCAGGGTAAATATTGGAGCAAAGATTCAAACCCAGTCTTGACTCCAGAACTTAATCTCTTTAGCACAACAGTATGTTCCCTTGACAATGCCGTGCTGCCTTCATTTCTTTACCATGGAACCTACGGCCCCCTAATCTCTACTCACCTCTCCTCCCTGTTAGACTAGAAGATCCCCCCAAACAACACCTTGATAATACAGCTCCCCAAACATTAATGTTTACTAAGTATTGTGTAAATACGCAGGATTTCCTCTATACCAGTGGTTTTCAAACTATGTTCCTTCAAACCCTACATGTAAGTCAGAAGAGGCACATGGGCCATCCAAATACGTCCCACCCTAGAGAAAGGATGACTGACCCTTAGGATGCAAGTACAGAGCCTCAGAACCACCACCCCGATTAAGCAGTGCATGCTTTATGTACTGAACATGTGAAGTGAGTTTGAAGAAAGAGTCCCTCTACTAAACTAAAAGTTTAAAATCATTGCCCTAGATCTAGCCAGTGTGCCTTCATTCTAACCATCTTCAGAAGGCAAGGGATCTCTTCTTGCTATGCTACTGAAAGGAAATTTTCCCAGTATCCTGGAATATTTACACTGTTTCTTTATATTTAAATTTTCTGAATATTCCTGAATTCTTATTCTAGGTTTCTTATTCTAAATTGTAAAACCTATGGAATGGGAGAAGATATTTCCAAATGTCTTATCAGATAAAGGGCTAATATCCAAAATCTATAAAGAACTTATCAAACTCAACACCCAAAGAACAAATAATCCAATCAAGAAATGGACAGAAAACATGAACAGACATTTCTCCAAAGAAGACATACAAATGGCTAAAAGACATATGAAAAAATGCTCAACATCACTTGGCATCATGGAAATACAAATCAAAACCACAATAAGATACTACCTCACACCAGTTAGAATGGCTAAAATTAACAAGTCAGGAAACAGATATTGGCAAGGGTGTGGAGAAAGGGGAATGCTCTTACACTGTTGGTGTGAATGCAAACCAGTGCAACCACTCTGGGGCACATGCACCCCATTATTTATAGCAGCAATGTCCACAATAGCCAAACTACGGAAAGAGCCCAGATGTCCATCGACAGATGAATGGATAAAGAAGAGGTGATTCACACACACACACACACACACACACACACACACACAGAAATATTACTCACCCATCAAAAAGAATGAAATCTTGCCATTTGCAACGACATGGATGGAACTAGAGGGTATCATACTAAGCAAAATAAGTCAGTCAGAGAAAGACAAATATCATATGATTTTACTCGTATGTGGAATTTAAGAAACAAAACAGATGAACATAGAGGAAGGGAAGGAAAAATAAGATGAAAATTGAGAGAGAGGCAAATCATCAGAGATGTCGAACTCTAGGAAACAAACAAAGGGTTGCTGGAGGGGAGAGGGATGGGGGAGAAGGGATAATTGGGTGACGGGCATTAAGGAGGGCACTTGATGTAATGAGCACTGGGTGTTATATGCAACTGATGAATCACTAAATTCTACCTCTGAAACTAACAACAACAATAACAACAGAAAACCCCAAAACAAAAAACAAAACAAAACCTTGAAAGTAATCACTAGTTAGCATTGAATAAAGTAAATGCTGCTTCTAAAACACAGAAATTAAAGGAAAGAAAGAAAATACAGTTCATTTACCAAAAGAAGGAAGCATTGTGCAAACCTTGATTAAAATGATGAAACAATGTTTAAGTCAGATATAATTCTGGATCATTAATAGGGTAATTTCTCTGTTGAAAGATAAAACTCAGATTGTACCCAGAACCAAATTCCAACTATGTGCTACTTTTAAAAGTTACACCTAAAATAAATGACACTAAAACAAACAAATAAAAAATTAGGAGAAGGAACTAAAAGAAGTAAGAATTGCTTTTGGCTCTCCAATAATTTACTCCCTATTCTTTGAGCTAAGCCTTGCACTCCTCTCTCTTCTGTCCAAAGGCTATCCCTTGCTTTTACATCCAGGAAATGCTTACCTCCTCCAAGTAGGGCATGACATCCCATAGTGACATGTAGTATGCTGTTACCACCGACTTATATATAGCCATAGGTATAGTATCTCGGTGGGGAGGCTTGGGAATCCCTGCAATGAAAAACAGTAGATTGGCCATTCCGAGATCCTCCTCCAACCCCATTCAAGGGACCACCCAAAACCACCAAGAATGAAGGTTTCAGTCAGTCACAGGACATGCTTTCCCAGTTCCAGGAAGAATCATAAGATAGGCAGTAAAGGAGTGGGATTCCTTTCATATCTATAGGCTCTGAGGCAGGATGCCCTGCTGTCTGGGGAAAGGAGGTGGTACATCAATCCCACTGCTGGACCAGTAGTTCTCAACCCTGGTGGCTCATTAGAATCTCTTAAAGTCGAATGGGAAAATACATATGCTCAGATTCTGCCCTTTCCTCCCCATTTCAACTAAGACATACTTTTCTAACAGCTCTGGGATAGGCCTGGCACCTCTGGCTTTTACAAGTTCTGCAGAGGATTCCAATGCACAGCCAAGACTAAGCAACATGGCCCTAGATGCTGAGAACCTAGAGGGTGGGCTCTGTATTTTGTACATATTTGAATCCCCAGTGCCTAATGATAAAATAAACTGGAACAAACTGGGTATCTCCCCAAAAGTACATCTTTATCTACTCCCTCAATCCCCTCTTCACAGGACAGAGACCATTTGAGAGGCTGAGTTATTATTCAGATTGAGATTGTTGCTAGGTACCCAAAGAAGAGCTAAAAAACTCTTGATATGCAAGGTACTCAGTTGTATGTTCTCCGTTCTCTGTCAGGAGTGCCCCATAATCTGAAAAATATAAAGAAATTTGTCACTTTCCCCAAGAAAGCTCCAGCTTCAGCAAAGAAAGGCATGAGAGCTTAATACTGAGCAAAAGGATCCTTAATACAGAAGCTTTGAAAGGAAAAATTTTTGGCATTAGATAAGAAAATACCACATCCCAATTAGTCCAAACCAGGAGACATCTGCCATACTTTGCAGGGCTTTCAAATGAAGACAAATAACACCAATCCCTGGATATCTAATAAGTCCTGACTGAGAGCCCAAGGCTATTCCAATCCAGTGGTTTCTACTTTCTATTCAATTTCTTTTTTTTTTTTATTATGTTAAGTTAGCCACCATACAGTACATCATTAGTTTTTGATGTAGTGTTCCATGATTCATTGTTCACGTATAACACCCAGTGGTTCCTCACAACACATGCCATCCTTAATACCCATCACCCGACTACCCCCTCCCCCAACCCCCTCCCCTCTGAAACCCTCGGTTTGTTTCCCAGAGTCCATAGTTAAATTCCTTTCTTTCACCCTTGACTTTTCACCTTGTCTCTCAGTGTCATTAACCAATGCCCTAGTGTTATCAAGAGATCCAAAGTAACTGTTTTACAGGAACTTCTAAGAATAAGGGTCTGCACAGTGGATAGATAAGATTAAACTACCAAGGCCTCTGCCTGCAAAGTCCCAGACAGTCTAGATTCTAGTGCTGGATAAATTCTAGTACTGTCAAGAGGAATAAACATCAAACCTTCAATCCTCAGCATTTGTTAAAGGCAAAACAGATGAACCGTCCCAGAGATTGTTCCATGAGACCCACTCTAGAAAGCTCCAGGCTCAAATGGTGGGGTGGCCTAGGTTGGAGACAACTCTAAGGGACAATTACTTGCCATAGCTTGTGATCATAGGGAGGTAATGGTCCAAAGATGCAGATCCACCCATGAAGCCGAAGTTGGTGCCACCATGGAACATGTAGAAGTTGAGGGAGAAACTAGCGTTGAACATTTCACGCACGTCTCTCATTAACACTACATAGGTAGGAAGAAAAGAGAGGGAGAAAATAAAGTTTGAGAGAATTAATAATAGCCATTTGTGGAATGTTCAAACTGCATGTATTGAACATTTGTTTATGCATCTTAGTCTTAGGTAAATAGATGTCCAGCTCAGTGTTTCTGGAGCACTTAGTAACTTTTCAATAAATTCTTAGTAACTTCTTTAGTAACCTAAAATCGTGGTACCAAGAACATTTACCTTCAAACCACATTTTAATGATCTTCATCAACTCTCCTGGAAGGATGTGGCAGATAATCTGGGACCAACACACTTTCATTGAATTGCCCCATCTGTTAGAACAACTCACTCTAATTGCTTTAATAGCCTCAACAAAATATACTCAGAGTGGAAACACTGCTAAAATTTCAATTTCAATTGCAATCACTTCTGGGGTGCTTATTCAGTTTTGTCCCTTAAATCTAGTACTCTAAGTACTCTAACTGGCACGGGAAAAGAAAAAAAAAAAACAGGCCAGTGCCATTTCTGTCATCTATTCTCCTGAGAAAGGATCTAAGAAGTACTCACAGTGTGAATCCACAGAATGGGGGGAAATGCCCCATCCGTCCAAAGAGCTTGCTGTATACACCATCATCAGTATGGGGCTATGACCCTGAGAAAAATGAAGTGTCAATTTAGTAAAGTTTGGTACAGTTTAGAAGCTCTGAATTGCTTAGGAGGAAATTGTGAAGTCTAGTTCTCACAAACCCCCTTACGATTCAGAGCATCCCCTCACTGCTCACAAACCCTGAGTTCTACTCTCCATCCTCAGATAATTTCCCTGGTCTTGTTATTCCTCTTGGGGTTTCAATGGACTTCTCCCTCAGGGTTTGGTAAAATCAACTGTCATTGCCACATTTTCCTTCCTGGAACAACAGAATCTCTTCATTCCCTTCAGTGACCAGATTAGAAGTCTAGTAAAGAAGCGCCTGGCCCAGGGGAAGCATTAAAAATATTCAACAAATGAATGCTAAAAATGTTGAATCCCATTAAATAAGAATCCCTGAATCTCAGAATTGTATTTTGTTTTTATTCAAGTATAATTAACATACAGTGTTCTATTAATGTCAGGTGTACAATATAATGATCAACATTATATAATGTATAAAATCAACATTATATAATGTATATAATAATTCTATACATTTCTCACTGCTCATCCTGTATGCTTAATTCCCTTCACCTATTTCACCCATCCCCCCCAGCCACCTCCCCTCTGGCAACTGTGGGTTGAACAAATTGGTATTTGTCGGTATTAAGTTAATCGGTATTAAGTTGTCAGTATTCTGTTGTTTCTTTTCCTCTTTGTTCATTTGTTTTGTTTCTTAAATTCCACATGAGCGATATCATATGGTATTTGTCTTTCTCTGACTAATTTTACCTAGCATTATACCCTCTGGATCTATCCATGTTGTTGCAAATGGCAAGATTTCATATACATATATACATATATATATATACCTACACACACACACCATGGAATATTACATATACATATAAAACAATCACATTTATACATATACATTATTGAAATACATATATATTATTTATATACATACAAAACAATCACATTTTCTTTATCTATTCATCCATTATCACACATTTAGGCTGTTTCCATAACTTGGCTATTGTGAATACTGCTGCTATGAACATAGGAATACAGATATCTCTTCAGGATAATTATTTCATTTCCTTTGCATATATACCCAGAAATAAGACTTCTAGATCATATGGCAGTTCTATTTTTAATTTCTTTATGAACCTCTATACTGTTTTCCATAGTGGATGTATCAGTTTGCATCTCTACCAACAGTATCCGAGGGTTTTCTTTTCTCCACATCCTTGCCAGCATTTGTTATCTCCTGACATCCTAACAGGAGTGAGGGGATATCTTATTGTGGTTTTGATATTCCTTTCTCTGGTGATTAGGGCTACTGAGCAGCTTTTCATGTACCTGTTGGACATCTATAGGTCTTCTTTAGAAAAATGCATATGCAGGCCCTTTGCTCATTTTTCAGTTGGGTTACTTGGGGTTTCTTATTTTGCTATTGAGCTGTACAAGATTTTATATATTTTGGATATTAACCTGTTATCAGGTATGTGGTTTGCAAATATTTTCCCCCATTTCCATAGGTTGTCTTTTCATTTTATTGATGATTTCCTTTGCTGTGCAGAAACTTTTTAGTCTGATATAGTCCCAGTTGTTTATTTCTGCTTTTGGTGTCAAATGCAAAACACTATTACCAAGATCAATATCAAGAAGCTTATGCCCATGCTTTCTTCTGGGAGTTTTGTGGTTTCAGATCTTATGTTCAAATCTCTAATCCATTTTGGGTTGATTTTTGTGTATGACATAAGATAGAAGTTAGTTTCATTCTTTTGCATGTGGATATGTATGGCTGTATGTTTTCAGGAATTTATTTCTTCTAGGTAGTCTAATTTGTTGGCATATAATTGTTCACATTAGTAGAAACTATGATCCTTTATATTTCTGTGGTATCAGTTGTAACTCTACTCTTTCACTTAAAATTTTATTTACTGAGTCTGATCTCTTTTTTCTTAGTATAGTTCAATATTTGTCAATTTCATCTTTTTTAAAAACTTGGTTTCATTGATCTTTTCTATTGTCTTTCTCGTCTCGATTTCATTTATTTCTGCTCTGATCTTTGTTATTTCCTTCTTCTACTAACTTTGAGCTTAGTTTGTTCTTTTTCTAGTTCTTCAAGATAAACAGTTATGTTGTTGATTTGAGATCCTTTCCTTCTTAATGTATGCGTTTATCACTATAAACGTCCTCGTAGAATCGCTTTTGCTGCATCTCATAAGTTTGAGATGTTGTGTTTCCATTTTCATTTGCCTTAAGATTTTTTTAAATTTCTTTTTTCGTTTATTTGACCAATTAGTTGTTCAGGAGAATGTTGTTTAATTTTTATATATTTGTGAATTTTCCCATTTTTTCCTTGTAATTGATTTCTAGTTCCACACCATTGTGGTCAGAAAATATGATTTCAATCTTCTTAAATTTATTAAGACATGTTGTGTGGCCTAACATATGGTCTCTTCTGGAGAATGTTCCATGTATGCTTGAGAAGAATGTGCATTCTCCTGCTGTTGGTGGGAATTTCTGTATATATTCTGTACATCCATCTGGTCTAACATATAATTTAAGTCCCATGCTTCCTTATTTAGTATCCATGTAGATGATCTGTCCATTGTTGGAACTGAGGTATCTAAAACCCCTGCTATCATTGTATTGCTATCTATTTCCCTGTTCAGATCTATTAATATTTGCTTTATATATTTAGGGGCTCCTATGTTGGGTGCATAATATTTACAATTGTTATATTCTTTTGATGAATTGACCCCTTTGTCATCATATGAAGGCTTTCTCTGACTGTTGATACAGAGTTTGTCTTAGTCTGTTTTGTCTGCTATAAGTATAGCTACCCCCCCTGATTTGTTTTATTTGTTTTGGCTTTTGTTTGCATGGAGTATCTTTTTCCATCCCTTCAATGTCAGTCTGTGTGTGTCTTCAAAGCTGAGGTGAGTCTTTTGTAGCCAACAGATGGTTGGATCTTTTTTTTTTTAATCTATTCAACCACTCTGTATCTTTTGATTAGAGGATTTAGTCCATTTTAAATTTAAAGTAATTATTGATAGGTATTATGTTAATGATTTTCTGTCTATTTTATAATTCCTTTGTTCCTCTCTTGATCTCCTCCTTTGTAGTTTGATGATTTTTCTGTACGGGTATGCTTCGATTCCTTTCTCTTTCTCTTTTGTATACTACAGGACTTTGTTTTGAGGTTACCACGAGGCTTACATAAAACATCTCATATTGATAGCAATCTATTCTACCAATAACAGGTTAACTTCAAACATATACTCTACATTTTTAACCCTCTCCTTACCTTTTATATTTTGATGTCACAATGTACCTCTTTTCACCTAGTGTATCATTAAAAAATTATTGTAGTTATAATTATTTTTAATACTTTTGTCTTTTAACCTTCATATTAGAGTTAAAAGTAACTTACCCATGACATTATTCTCTAAATTTAACTATACATTTACCTTTACAATGAGTTTTATACTTTCATATGTCTTCTTGTTACAAATTAGCTTTTTCTGTTACTAATTAACTTACCATTTCTTTCAGCTTAAAGAACTCCTTTTAACATTTTTTGTGAGGCTAGTCTGTTGTGATGAACTCCTTTAGCTTTATCTGTCTGATAAACTCCACTGCTCCTTCAATTCTGAAGGACTCCTTCACTGGGTAGGGTATTCTGGGTTGGTGCTTTTTTTCTCTTGGTGCTTTGAATATATCACCCCATTCCCTTTTGGCCTACAAGATTTCTGCTGAAAAATCTGTGATAGCCATAAGGAGGGGGCAGAGTTAAGATGGCGGAGTAATAGGGGGACCCTGAACTTGCCTTGCCCTTCAAATACAGCTAGATCAACATTCAACTATTTTGAACAACTAGGAAGATGATCTGAGGATTAAGGAAACAATCTGCACAGTTGGAGAGAGAGAACATGGCAGATGCAAGGTTTGGAACCATGAATTGGGGGAGAGGAAAGCATCACAGCCACAAAGGGGAGGGAACCCTTTTCATGGAGCAAACTCAGGAAGAGAAAGAAAATGGGAAAGAACCCAGCGAGTAGGGACCACACAATAAGCCTCGGTGAGGAGATCCTCTGGGTAGCACAGTGAGAGATCACTCCCCTTCCCAGAGGGCATTTGGAAGAGCATATTTTGCCTCTCCAAGGACAAAAGGCCAGCCAGGAGCCATTAAGCGGGGCTCAACAGCAGGGTCAGAGGTGTGTGCAAAGGGCAGAAAGCCTCTTAAGATTTTGCTGTGAGTCACAATAGGTTTAAACCTCTGTGTGCACATCAAGTGGCTGCTTTTCTTCAACAGAACTAAGCAGAAAGTAGAGACAGGAGCAGATTGCAGATAACCTGGCCACCACTTTTTGCTGTCTGCCACAATAGATTCAAACCTCTGCAATGGCTTCTCTGGGACAGAAAGGAGTAGGGGACTGAATCAAGTGCAGATAGCCAATAAACTGGCTTCAGCTTTTTGCTGAGCATTACAATAAACTCTAGCCCCTGAGTGCATACTGTGCAATGGCTTTTTAGGGATAGGATGGTGCTGGGCACACCCTGAGGCTCTCCTCAGAGGGAGAGGAGTGAGCCCAAACCTTACCAGGCCATTTAAAACTTGGAGTTTTGAATCCCAGCCACCAACCAGAGATAAAATCCAGGAAATCTGTGGCTCCAGACATGCTGATGGCCTGGGCACAGACAAGTTAAAGACAAGGAACTGATGAAAGCCCGGGACACAGAAGATTCTTTGTTTTCTAACAGGGCCTCCTGAACAGCAGTAGCCATGAGTTCTGCTCCCAGGGACAAGACAGCAGGGTGATGCCATAGTCTTACTCCTCCACACCCCTCTCTCCCACCCATCAGCACAATCGGGACTTCAGAAAGAAACAGCATCTCCAGTGGAGGCTGGAATCCCCTACACTAAGACACCCCCCCCTCCCTGCACCTGGCAGGAGCATCTTTACAAGGGCAAAAATTCACTCCAAAAGAAAGAACAGGAGGCAATA